AGTTTGGTTCTAGAGAGCACTTCTTCTAGGTTTAAAGAGTTCTAATACCTTATGTTGCTATGGGCATAGCTTTTGAAAACCTGGAACCCTTTAGCTTACTATTAGGTTTTTTAAAAGGTGCATGGGGCAGAATGAGGCAGAAACAGGAACTATGCTGAAGAGGACACTATCCAAACAGACACAGCTGTTTAGAGCCATGTGACTCTGGGACCCGAATCCTTCACATGCTTAGGAGTTACCTGCACCCGAGGATTCATCCCAGGAGTCCTCGAGGTCACTGGTTTCTTGTATCCGGTCACTGATTCTTAGCTGACAATCCTCATCTGATTCCTTAACTGTTTTCAACATAGGCTGATGATCAGCTGCCTGAGTCCTTTTTGATTTTAGAATGCCGGTTCCCTCTTCCCCTGGGGCGTCAGAGGCCACTAAATTCTGATCACAGTGCTTGGCCCAAGCAGCATCCTCCATTAAGTTGTCTGGGTCAGTCACTATCTGATTTCGGAGAAGCTGATCCAACGTATCATAAAATGGACAGTGTGGTGGCTCACCCATACTTGTGGCATGGGCAACATAGGCCTTTAAATATAATGCCTTCAGAACTTTAAACTTGGAACGGCACTGACGTTCGGTGCGGCGGAAGCCCTCCTGCTGCATTCGCTTAGACACAGCCTGATAGACATCTGCATTGTGATGCACAGTCTGGAGGCGCTGAATATACTCTGCCTCGCCTAGTATGGAGAGAAGAGTTCGTGTCTCCTGTCTGGACCACCGGATGCCCGCACTGCTATTGGCACTGGCCATTGTGGGTTGGAAAGGAGGGCTGGGCAGCTTCTGGACAGCAAGGTGCAAGTCTGAAGGTGTGGGGAAGCTCTGTGTGCTCTCAGGATATCTCCAGGATCTTCCCTCTCAGGGATAATTGCTGAGAAGCCAGGTCCAAGGACCGCATTTCTGGCTGGAAGGCCACAGGGGAATGAGAGTTACAGGAAGGGTGTAAGGATAATTTTGGCAGCAAGTTAAGTGATGCTACCTGTTAGTAGGTCATAAACAGGCATGAGGCTAAGACTGAGACAGCCCAACTTCGGGAGTTCACCCAGGGTAGACACTGCACCAAGGACCTAATGGCTTGGTAACAAAAGGGCCAAATGCTTTCGTGGCTGAGAGTTGGTACAACAATGGATCTGTAAAAATCACCCTTGTCTGGTGAGCAGATGGGCTGGGAGGGAAAATCACCTGGACCACGAGGCAGCTAACTCTAAAGGAGTCCAAGCATGACCATGGTATAGCAATCTGAAAGATGCTCAGTCTTCACTAATCATAGCACACTGTGGCTCTGTGTTACCCATCTGTCACTATGGGCCAGAAAAGTGAGTTTAAGTTGCTCTGCTAATACAAAGCTTTTTTGTACAATATGGCAGAAGAAAGCCACATAATTACCGTAACCATCTGCCCCCAAACAGCAGCATAAAACAAACAGTAACATATTGTTGGCTACCAGGGGAGAGATCTATGGAAATATACTGTATCTGGACTGTATCAATGTGAGCATCTTGGTTGTGACACTGTACTATAGTTTTGCAAGATGTAACCAAGGGGAGAGGTGGTGAATCCAGTCATGTGCTTGACATTTCTGTATTATTTCTTACACAGCAGCATAGGAAACTACAATTCTCTCTAAATAAAAAGTTTAATTTAAAAAAACAAACAAATATATTGTTGGCTACTCAGTGATTCAGGCTTCAAGACCCATCTACAATTCTTTTTTCTACACTTTATGATTTGAAAATATTTGACACCAACTTATATTTAATATGCTCAGTACTTTGTCAACAGGTAAAAGGATATGGGGATATGTTTATTGTCACCAAATATTGAATTATCTCCAAACAACTATAGTTTTTGGCTTAGTGCATAAATATCCTAAGGAAAAAGATTAATATCAAGTTCAATTTAATTGAACACAGGTAAGAGATACAAAATAAGATAAACAGGTAAGAGATACCTGTATAAATTTAATCTATAATATCCAAATTCTAAATCAACACAAGGACATTTTTACTTACATTCTCACTAAACAAAGTTGAAAGAAAAGAACCTGGGGCAGAGGGTGAGGAGACCTGATCTGCAGTCTTATCCAGTTTACCCCCTAACCTAAGGTAAAAATTTCTTTGTACCTTGATTTTCTCATCTATAAATGGGGAATGATAGTATTTGCCTTGACAATTTTACAAGGATGTTGAGAGGATTAAATAAAATAATAGATGTGAAAGCACTTTGAAAATTTAAAAACACTCTATCAAGTATTACTACAGTAGTGAAAATGAAAACCCCTAATTATTACAGCAATCTATAATTTCAGGAGACAGAAGTCTGGGGAAGCAAGCCTCTTTTAATCTTCTAATTAAAGTTACAACAGATGATTAATCTGATTCTTACATAAGATGTTAATTTAGCTGTTACTCTAATGATTAAATTTGTAAGTCCAATGGAAAAGTTAGTTCCCAGAAAGTGTCACAAAAGATCATGAGGAAGAAAATCAATAGTGTCTACATCGATTATGAACAATTGTAATAGAGTCAGCAAAATTCAACCACATTATCAAGAAGTCTTCCAATTCCCACAAAATCTTTGAAATCCTCTCAGTTAAAAAAAAATCTAAAAATGTGAACAATCCAAATTACCACCTCTGACACAAATTACCAAAATTAAATGAATGTTAGCATTTATCAATACTAACAGACCTGTCAGCAAGAAACTAACATCTGAGTGAATCCCATAGTGGAGAAGATCCAACACTAATAATCAAAAGACACAGCCTACTGGGGGTACTCTCTAATGACTCAGTCATAAAATGAAGAAACAAACTATGCTGTTTCTAGTTTCACATTATGCTTAGAATTTATGAACATGTTTCTATTACTATATTTAAAAGTATCATTTGATTCCATACCTTCTGCCCAGGATCTGCTTTACTTTCATTACTGTATTTGAAATATTTCTTATTCTACTTTGTTTTGCTGCCAATCCAACAATCTGAAAAATATATATATATATTACAATGCATGTAATTTTAAATTATTTCACAAGTACAAAAATGAGGGGACTAGTACCTCTTCATTTTCTGAGTAAGCAACAACAGCTGGAGTAACTCGGTCACCAGCATCATTTGCAACCACACCAGCCCGGCCATCCTAGAGAAAAAAACACGAAATAGTCTCATTAGACGTATTCAGACATGTGTGCACCAGTGTTACTTTGCCATCTGTGTGGAAAGAAAAACTGCTTTCTCAATATTTTCAACTCGCAAATTTCATTACCATTTAATTTCCTCGTTTTCATAGAAGGCCTATAACTCCATGAATAACTGCCTCATGTTTTCAGTCTGCTCTGCAAAGTCAACAATTGAATCAAAAGTAATAACAACCTTTCTACACACAAAACGAAGCCTATTATTACGTTACCTTTCCTATTTCTTTCTTACCATTACCATTTCTTTTTCTTTTTTTTTTTTTTGGAGACGGAGTCTTGCTCTGTGGCCCAGGCTGGAGTGCACACTACAGTGGCGGATCTCGGCTCACTGCATTCTCCGCCTTCAGGGTTCAAGCGATTCTCATGCCTTAGCCTCCTGAGCAGCGGGGATTACAGGCGAGCCCGGATAATTTTTTTGTATTTTTAGTAGAGGCGAGGTTTCACCATGTTGGCCAGGCTGGTCTCGAACTCCTGACCTCACATGATCCGCCTGCCTCGGCTTCCCAAAGCGCTGGAATTACAGGCGTAAGCCACCGCGCTGGACCCCTTTCTTCCTATTTCTACAAAATGAAGCAGCATTATTCCCTTTGGCTTTTCCTAACAAGTCATTTGACATTTAAACGCGGAACTAGTGGCAACGGAGTTCATGATTATCGTTCCTTCTGCCTCCCCACTGAGGAGAGAAAGGCCACAAGTCCTGTCAAGCTCTCACTTCCAGAAAGGCCACCTCTGTAGAGCACGCACAATCAACTGGCTTCACAGCCAGGCAGCGTTGCAGGACCATCAGCTCCAACTCGACAGCAGCCTCCCCGCCCCTCCGGGACCTAGACGTTCGGGCCCAGCTCAGCGCGTCCTGCGGCCCTGCTGTCCCAAAGACCACCGCCTCCAAGTACCTCGCGGCCACTTTCCGAGAACCTCCCACCCAAAGGAATCCTGAGGCCCTGACGTCAGCGAGACCCTTCCGGCATTCAGAGTCCAGGACGTCCCCGGGACCCATCCCCGGACACCCAGCGGCCCTGCCCTCTCCGAGACCCCCCGGGCACCCTGCAGCTCCGTTGTCCCCGGGACCCCTCTGGGCATCCCGCCGCCATGACGCCCCTGGAACTCTGCGCGTCTAAGTCGCCGGGAGCTTCCGCCGCGGAGCAGAGAACTTTCTGAAGGAGTCGCCAGGGGCTAGGCCTGGCCCGCCCGGCCCTTCGCCCCGGAGTGTCCTCGCGGCAACGCCACTCCACGACGTCCCTAGGCCGGCGACACGCCGCTCTCAAGCCTGTGGATGAGCCCGCACCAGAGAACCGGGTGGCCGTCATGAAGCCCTAGCCCAGCTCCACAGCCCCTCACCTTATAGACGGCCACACAGGCTGAGGTGCAGCCCAGGTGAACTCCGATGGCCGCCATGAGGCAGCAGGGACGGCGGCGGTAGGAATGAAGGGGTCCCCCAACAGAAACAGCTACCAGCCGCCCAACGGCCCCATCAGGCACCGCGGAGCTTCACGTTCCCGCCCGCCCCCTGCGTCCGGTCCGCCGCGACAGCCTCCCGCGTCGCCGCCAATCAGCGTGAAGGTTCTGCCTTTCTTCACGCGCAGTACGCGAGTAGCTTCAGCGCGTGTCTCTGCGCTCTGCGGAACTGCATAGTGCGCACGCGCAACCAGGGAGGGACGGGAAAAGGCTTCTACGCTCCGCCCCCTTCCTGTCCCTTCCGTGAGAGCCAATGGAAACTCTCAGTTCAGTTGCGTCATTTGTCCTGGCAACTACCGGCAGATTCTTTCCAACCTTGCACTCTACTCAGCTCGCTTCGGCACCTCGGTGGGCGGTGGGTGCGGGTGGCGGAGGCGATTGAAGCTGCTGGCCCAGCATGTGGTGCGCGAGCCCAGTTGCCGTGGTGGCCTTTTGCGCCGGGCTTTGGGTCTCTCACCCGGTGCTGGCGCAGGGCCAGGAGGCTGGGGGGCGACCGGGGGCCGACTGTGAAGGTGAGCGGTGTGCGACCTGCTTGCATGGCGGCGGCCCCGCGCTGGACTGCAATGGCTGTCGGCTTTGGCTTCTCCTGGCCCTGGCTATAAATAACATTTCACCCAGTCCCTCGTTTTAGATCGCCCAAACCCAGCTCGAGCAAAAGCTCAAGCCGGGCCCAGTGGCAACGTGAGGTTACGTTGCGGTTTTGCTGTGAATATTAAACTTCAGCAGTAAAAGCTGCTGGGTTTGTATTTGGATTAGAGTTTGTGCAAAGACTGCTAGATTCAGATGATCCTGGCGCCAGATTGATTCTGCTGCTTCCAGCCAGCAAGATTTGCTTCCCCTTGCACAGAAGACGTCTTTCAAGTCCAAGCTAGTTGGTGACTCCCAAAAGGAAAACAAAACATGGCATTGAGTTGAGTGGCTTAAATCAGAAAACACAGCTAATATTTGTTAGGACTCTATAGGTGAAAGTTGCTTTGCAAAGGAGTACACTGACTCCTTGGGAAAGAGAGGAATACGAAAGAGTGATTCCTTTTTGTTCACGGTATCTCAGCTGTGAACTTGCAGTCACAATACATGGGTCTGTGTCCCACCAAGTCCCCTAGCTCTGAGACTTTGATTTTTGCAAAATCAGCATACTTCACTTTAGAGATCTGTTAGCAAAGGCAAAGAAGTTAAGTGGCTATGCTAGCCCCTTCCTTCTGTACGCCTGTAGCGCTCACTCCATGTTTTACTGAAAATTATTAGTTTAAATGTATATGCCCTGAGCTGGAAAATATATCCCTGGAGAACAGGAAATTGTAGGTTCATCATATATGTTGAATGAATGGATGGATATAGTCGTACTAAAGTTATGTTTTTGTTTGTTTTTTTTGTTTTTGTTTTTGTTTAAGACAGAGCCTCGCTGTGTCGCCCAGGCTGGAGTACAGTGGCACAATCTTGGCTCACTGCAGCCTCCACCATCAGGTTCCAGCGATTCTTCTGCCTCAGCCTCCCGAGTAGCTGGTACTACAGGCACCACCACCACGCCCAACTAATTCTTATATTTTTCGTAGAGATGGAGTTTCACCATGTTGGCCAGACTGGTCTTGAACTCCTGGCCTCAGGTGATTGGCCTGTCTCAGCCTCCCAAAGTGCTGGGATTACAGGCGTGAGCCACAGCGGCCAGTCCTTAAAGTCTTAATAATTGGAGCCCAGCTTTCTATCAGCTCTGCAATAATTAAACTTTTCTCCAGAAATTTAAAATATCTACATGATGTTGTTATTTGATATAAAGATATTTATTTAGCTAAGTTATAATTTTGCTCAAAACTGTGCTATAATTGTGTTCTATACTTTTAAAGCAGAATTTTTGAGGCAAAGACAGTTGATTTGATGACTCATCTGGAGCTCCCACTTACAAACATTTCAATAGAGACAGCATCTGGATTAATTAAGTGGAAAGCTTATGCTGTCTGTCCTAAATTTATTACAGCATGCTGTGATTATTAACTTGCATGTCTGACTAACCTGTGTATATGTTTCATTTGTTAGGTAAAGAAGCTGTATAATCGCAGAGGAAAGACATAATAGTTTGGTGACTAAAAGAACTAGATTCTGCATCCAGCTGTATTACTGCTTATGAGTGATCTTCCCTCCTCAGCCTCCTTTCTTATTTACAACTTAATTTCTTCTCAATGTATAAGATTAAAATGCCATATTATATATACTCTAGAGCGAAGGTAAAAAAACTAAATGGTTCATGAGCCGTCTCAGACCTATTGATATAGTTTGTTACATTTACAAAATATTTTGAAAAAAATTAAATTCACTGGGTACATTTTAAAATTGGGAAATTTTATGTAAAAATTCATATTTCTGGCTTTTCTCAAAAAACCAGATGACCTGGCAAGATTGGCCCTTATGGCAATATAGTAGAATTGGCTATTGGCTGCTCTTTTTAGAAAGGATGTGGGTTTTGAGTTGTTTGCCACCCCCACTCCGCCCCCAATTCAAATTGCTTAACTCTTCTTTTTCCTTGCCTGGCCCCTGTATATATTCAAGTTTGTGAATCCTACGTTAGCTAATGTGAGGTTTACTGGAAAAACATAAATATTTCCAAGTCTCTTTTAAAGGATTATATTATGGGACTATTTTAAACAACTTTTTATTTTAAAATAATTATAGATTCACTTATAGAACTATCTTTAATAAGCATAAAACCACAACGTAAATAAAAGAATTATGGCTATCCGAGGTTATTTTAGCAATAAAGACATCCTAGAAAACTTAAGAAGTTACTAATTTGTTAGGGCATTTGTGGCAAGGTTATTCTCTTCATGTAAGTCCAGAAAATGAGTTTCCTTTCTTGCCTTGACTTCTTTGTGGCATGTGACACAACTGACATCTTTCCCTTTCAGAAACTGTCTTCTCTTCATGGTCACGATACTGCTTTTTTCCTTCGTGTCTCTATGCCCACTTGTCCAGTGTGTCTTTGTGGGCTTCTGATCCTCTAGCCATGGCTTAGAATTTTCCAGGATTCTGCCCTCTGCTCTTCTCTCTTCTTAGTCTACACACTCTTCTTGGCAACCCAAACCAACCTACCTCCAGTCTAATAAATCTCTAAGCTTATATCCACTGACCTTTCTAGAGTCCCAGACCTTGCATCCAATTGACTAGTGAAAAAAAAATCTTAGATATGGTATACCTCAACATTCACACAGTCAAAAAAACAAAGTCATCATCTCCTTCCCTTCTCACTCCACTAAACCTGTTACTGTCATGCTTATGGTGACAGCATGGGCCAACCAGCTGGTCAACTAGCTTAGATTCTAGACTTCTCTTTCTCCCTTATCCCTTACAGCAAACCACTGCATCGTTGATTGTACCTCCTGACTGGCCCTGCTCCTTTCTCCTTACCCAAGTCCAGGACTTTCTTGCAGACCTTCACCAGTTTTCCCCTCCGTATTGTCAAAACAGCATTCTTCCTGCTACCTGTCTCCCTCCCGTCTAGTCCCCTGGCAGGGCTATCATATTACTTCCTTATTTAGTACTAATACTAAATAAGTCCTTATTTAGTACTCAGCAGTTTCCCAGTTTCCTCCAGGTGCCGCTCTTTTGTTTCCCCACAGTATCTAACACACTTCTCATATTGTTTTGGTCTCTGAAAGTCAAGGCAGTGCCTCTCACCACATCATTTCTAGCAGCTACCATACTGCATGGCGTATGGTAGGCGCTCAGTTTGTTGAAGAAATGTATGCATATATGCTGTGATAAAATTTTGGGTATCTTTTATTGAGTCAAATGTACATCTTGAAAAGGACAAGTTAGTATTCCTAACTTTCATCAGCTAGATGATACATTGGCAGAGTGATAGTTGAGGTATAGAAATCATATGAAGGTATACTGTGGGAAATACTTAAGAGCGATGAGGCACTGGAATACTGGGGGTTTCTTTTATATGAGACAAGAATTAGAGGTTACTAGGAGACTTTGATGATAGTTTCTTTTTCTTTTTCTTTTTTTTTTTTTTTTTTGAGACAGAGTCTAACTCTGTCGCCTGGGTTGGAGTACAGTGGCATAGTCTCAGCTCACTGCAACCTCTGTCTCCCGGGCTCAAGTGATCCTCCCTCCTCAGCCTCCTGAGTAGCTGGACTACAGGTGCTTACCACTACGCCCAGCTAATTTTTTATATTTTTAATAGAGATGAGGTTTCACTATATTGCCCAGGCTGGTTTTGAACCCCTGAGCTCAAGTGATCCGCCAGCCTTGGCCTCCTAAAGTGCTGGGATTACAAGCATGAACCCCCGTGCCTGGCCTAATGACAGTTTCTGGTGACTTGTAGCATTGATCATTACAGTGGTTTTCTTCTTTGCATACTGGATATATTTGCTAATTAAACTCAGCAAAATACATGTTGAGAGGGATCTCATTTTTCACATTTAACACAGCAGACCCATTACACATTCCTTTTAACACTGTGCTCACTTGCCTTTTGGAATAACACTCACTCTTTGTTCTTAGCCTACTTCACTGGCTGCTCCTTTCAGTCTTTTTCTGGTTGTTTTCCATCTTCCCAATTGCTAAACATTGGGATTTCACAAGGCTGAGACCCAGGACTGTGTCTCTTTTCCATCTCTCCTTACTTTGTGTTCTTATCTTAAAAATGCCATTTAAATGTTGATGGCTTCCAGATATATATATTCATCCTAGATCTTATACCTGATCTTCAAATTTCTATATCTAGCTGCCGTCTCACTGTTTCCAGTTGGATGTTATATTAGTCAAGGTTCTCCAGAGAAATAAAACCAATAGGACCAAACAGAACACATAATCTACATCTATGTATCTTCTTAATATCTATATTTATATAAAAAGGGATTTATTATAAGGAATTGACTCACAAGATTATGAAGGCTGAGAAGTCCAAAATCTGCAGTGTGGGCAAGCAGGCTGGAGACCCAGGAGAGCCTGTGGTATGAATGAAGTCTAAAGGGAGTATGCTGGAGAATTCCCTCTCTGTCAGGGAGGGTGGTCTATTTCGTTCTAGTCAGGCCCTCAACTAGTTGGGTCAGGCTCACCCGCATTATGGAGGCCAATCTGCCTTACTCAAAGTTCATCAATTTAAGTGTTAATTTCATCATTGCTACATAAAATTAACTATCACAGATGTCTAGAAGCATCTTGAACTTCATATGTCAAGACTGGATTCTGGCCAGGCGTGGTGGTTCACACCTGTAATCTAGCACTTTGGGAGGCTGAGGCAGGCAGATCACCTAAGGTTAGGAGTTAGAGACCAGCCTGGCCAACATAACGAAACCCCATCTCTACTAAAAATACAAAAATTAGCTAGGTGTGGTGACACGCACCTGTAATCCCAGCTACTCAGGAGGCTGAGGCACAAGAATCACTTCAGTCCGGGAGTTGGAGCTTGCAGTGAGCCAAGATCATGCCACTGCACTCCAGCCTGGGCGACAGAGCAAGATTCTGTCTCAAAAAAAAAAAAAAAAAGATTAGATTCCTGCTTGGCACCATAAACTTGCTTCTCCTGTAGTCTTCCTCATTTCAGCGGATGGCAACTCCATGGTTCCAATTTCTTGGCCAAAATTATTGGGATTATCTTTGATTACTCTCTCTCTCTCCCCCCCCAACTCTGACATGTTACATCTGGTTCATTAGTGAATTATTTTGGCTCTTCCTTCAAGATAGGTCCAGAGTGTCACCACTTTTCCTGCCCGCTATAGCTATTACCGTGGTCTAAGAGATGCAACTATTTTGAGAACCTGTAAACTGGTCAGCTGGTCTCCCTGCTTTCTTTTCTGCTTCCTTGTAATCCTTTCTTCAGACAGCCTTCAGAGACATCCTTTATGAATCACGTCAGACCATAGCTCTTCTCTACTCAAAACCTTAAATGGCTTCCAACCTTAAACGGCTTCCCTTCTCAGAGTGACATCCAGAGACCTTACCATGCTTGAAAGACCCTGGATGCCCCGGCATGCTGCTGCCTATTTGATCTCATTTGCTACACACCTCCCTCTTCCTCCCTCTACTTTAGCCACACTGGCCTTCTGGCTGTTCCTTGAAGCCACCAAGGACACTCCTGCATCTGAGCCTTGGTACTTGCTGTCCCTTCTGCCTGTGGAGTTCTTTCTCAAGTCGTCCACTGAAATTGTTCTTCCCCTTCCTTCAGGTGTCTGCTTGAATATGACTTTACCTAAGAGACCTTTCCTAACCAACCCATTAAGAATCATACTATTACTTTGTCACCTTCCATCCTCCTTACCATGTTTATGTTTCTTCTTTGCTACCTATACCTTTATTTCTTCTATCAGATGTAATGCTCAAGGGCAAGGACTTTGTTTTCTTCATTACTGAATCTCAGGAACCTAGAACACTGTTTTGCACTTACTAGTCGCTTAGTATTTGTTAAAAACATAAATGACTGGCTATTATATTTAGTATTCTGTTCATGTTGATAACATTAGAAATAAAAATATATGGGCTGGGCACAGTGGCTCATGCCTGTAGTCCCAGCACTTGGGGAGGCCAAGGTGGGCAGAGCACGAGGTGAGGAGATCGAGACCATCCTGGCTAACATGGTGAAACCCCGTCTCTACTAAAAATACAAAAAATGAGCCAGGTGTGGTGGCACATGCCAGTAGTTCCAGCTACTCAGGAGGCTGAGGCAGGAGAATTGCTTGAATCCCAGAAGGTGGAGGTTGCAGTGAGCTGAGTGAGCTGAGATCGCACCACTGCGCTCTAGCCTAGGCAACAGAGCAAGACTCCATCTTGGAAAAAAAAAATAAATAAATAATAAAATTAAAAAATATATATATATATACACACACACACACACACACATGACTTTAAGCTGTAAAAGATGACATGATTGGCCAGTCATCTAGAAACAACTGAAAATAAAAAATGTGAAAATATTGTAAAGTATGAGTTGGGAAGGCATACCCAGAAGCCAACTACAGAGTGGAAGTGGGAGTCCAGTGGGTTGAAGGGGGCACTGAAGCTGGCTTTACCTTGGATCATTTGTTAGCCAGGTGATCTGAACTAAAGTTTTCATGGTTTTGGCTAAATGAGCACAAGTCCCAGGCATTTCCAAGTTAGGAGTGTGAGAACAGATCCTCTCCCAATGAATTCAGGGCCCCAAAGAACTAGCCCTTCGTTATAAAGGGTGAACTGAAAATAACTACAACCTATTTCCATCTTTAGAGACTAAAAGAAATAGTTTAACTTGAACTTTTTTACTGAGTGAAAGGAAAAACAAAACTGTTTCTTGGTAACTCATAATTAGAAGCTGGTGCCCATAGGTAGGGGCTGAAGGCCCCATTCACACTGCTAGGATGATCTGAAACATCTTGAACTGATTATTTAGTTGAAAGTGATTTTAAGTAGATCATACCCTCAGGCATCAGCAAATGTGAGTCTTGGTTTTGTTTTTATTTTTTGAGACGGAGTTTCACTCTTGTCGCCCAGACTGGAGTGCAATGGTATGATCTCAGCTCACTGCAACCTCCGCCTCCTGGGTTCAAGCATTTCTCCTGCCTCAGCCTTCCAGGTAGCTGGGATTACAGGTGCCCGCCACCACTCCTGGCTAATTTTTGTATTTTTAGTAGAGACAGGTTTCACCATGTTGGCCAGGCTGGTCTCAAACTCCTGACCTCAGGTGATCCACTTGCCTCAGCCTCCCAAAGTGCTGGGATTACAGGCATAAGCCACCACGCCCAGCCAGCAAATGTGAGTCTTACTTACAGGAACCCACATTCAACCTAGTCCTTAAAGAATTCACACAGTTAAAGTTCTAAGAAATAGAGCTCTCACTTAGAAAAGGCTCGAACCCCTAGGGAAGAAAGGGCACAATAAGTGATAGCCAGCTGGGACAAAAAACAGAAGAAACACACCCCTGCAATGACTTCAGGTATTGGAATAATCAGGCATAGAAGTTAGGTTTTTTATGTTTAAAGAAACATAGAACATAAACCTAACCCATCCCTACCCATAGAGGACTATAAAGAAATTTACCTTGACACTGAGCAAAGTAGAAAAAAGAAAAAATGTAGATCTCTGAGAGATGATAACAACAAAACATCCCTCACTTGTATTTGCAGCCAAAATTCACATCAGGGGCCCCAAAACTTCAGGCTATATATTTTGTTTAAAGCAGCACCTGGCTAGTTGCCCTTAGGCCCTGAGAAATACAAACACAAATCCTTGCTGGAAATAATGCTCATTCATCTCAGGCTTCAAACAATCTTCACAAATAAGATTTGAGGGGTATGGGTATCGTGTGGTGCAAAATAAGCAAGCACACAAGGAAACACGGCACCAGGAACAAGAACCTATAGAAACAACAAATAGAAACGTACTCTGGGCCTGATGCGGTGGCTCACGCCTATAATCCCAGCACTTTGGGAGGCCGAGACGGGCGGATCACTTGAGGTCAGGAGTTTGAGACCAACCTGGCCAACATGGTGAAACCTTGTATCTACTGAAAATATAAAAATTAGCCGGTCATGGTGGCAGGTGCCTGTAATCCCAGCTACTCAAGGGGCTGAGGCAGGAGAATCACTTGAGCCAGGGAGGCAGAGGTTGCAGAGTAGAGATTGCGCCACTGCACTTCAGCCTGGGTGACAGAGTGAGACTTCGTCTTAAAAAAAAAAAACTCTGAAGACTTCAGATACTGAAATTTTCAGACACAGATCATAAAATAATTATGTTTAGTGTGTTTAAAGATATAAAAAACAAGCTTGAAAATATCTTCAAGAAATAAGGAACTAGAAGAAATGACCTAACAAGCCTCCCATTTTAGCCTCCTCAGTAGCTGGGACCACAGCCTGTGCAGAGACAGAGTCTCACTGTGTTGGCCAGGCTGGTCTCAAACTCCTGGCCTCAAGAGATCCTCTCGCCTTGGCCTCCCAAAGTGTTGGGATTACAGGCGTGATCCACTGTGCCCAGCCTGGTTTCACTTTAGGCTCATAACGATGGAAATAAAGACTTACGCAGATCACCAAGGGGCTTCATTCAAGATTCTTATTCAGGTTTTTCTCTGTACTTACAATTATGCTGTCCCAAAATGGTAGCCTATAGATGGGTATATTTTCTTTTAGGGTTAGCCAAATTTTGTGGAAAAGTTACTATTTTAGGTAGAACTTGGTTCCAATGATTGATTGATTTAATAAACTGATACGTGTCCACTGCATTTCGGCCCAATACTAAACTAATAGCAACAGGCCTGAAATCATTCTTTTTATTTATATTTTTTATTTTCTTGAGGCAGGGTCTCGCTCTGTCACCCAGGCTGAAGTGCAATGGCGCAAGTGCAGTGACTTGATCATAGCTCACTGCAGCCTCCATCTGCCAGGCTTAAGTGACCCTCCCACCTCAGCCTCTTGAGTAGCTCAGACTACAGGCATGCACCATCATGCCTGGCATATATAGATATATATTTGTAGTAGAGATTTTTTTTTTTTATGTTGTCCAGACTGACTTCAAACTCCTGGGCTTTTTTTTTTTTTCTGCTTCTGCCTCCCAAAGTGCTGGGATTACAGGTGTGAGCCACCATGCTTGGCCCCCAAATCATTCTTACCTAGCCTTTTTTTTTTTTTTTATGAAGCATTGACTCATATGGACTTTTTTTTTTTTTTTTTTTTCTGTGAGACGGAGTCTTGCTCTGTTGCCAGGCTTTTTTTTTTTTTTAAGATCTTGGCTCACTGCAACCTCCGCCTCCTTTTTTTTTTTTTTTCTCCTGCCTCAGCCTCTTGAGTAGCTGGGACTTTTTTTTTTTTCCACCATTCCTGGCTAATTTTTTTGTATTTTAGTTTTTTTTTTTTTTCACCATGTTGGCTGGGATGGTCTCGATCTCCTTTTTTTTTTTTCTGCCCACCTCAGCCTCTCAAAGTGCTGGGATTACAGGCGTGAGCCACCATGCCCGGCCCCATATGGACTTTTTAATGTTTTTTTTTTTTCATATGCATAGGTGTGGTAGTGGTTAAGTTGTGTTTTTTTTTTTTTTTATTTGTTCCTTCCAGTATGTAAAGAATTCTTTTTTTTTTTTTACAAGTCATTGATAGACAGAGGAGTTAACTTTTTTTTTTTTTTTTTAGAGAAAGAATTGATCAGCTTTTGCTTGGATATTTTTTTTTTTTAAAACCGCCTGGTATGGTTAATTTCACCTTTCATTTTTTTTTTTTGCTTGAAGAAAACTGCTAATAGTTTCATTTCTTTTTTTTTTTTTTATCCTACTTATGTTTGCCTCAGGCATGTCCATCGTAGAGCACGCAGCAAGCAGAAATCCATCTTCCAGTGACATGTAGTTTTTTTTTTTTTCATCCAGAATATTTCCAGTGTTACTTTACTTTTTTTTTTTTTTTCAGGCAACCGATTCTATGTTTTCTTTTTTCTTTTTTTTTTTTTTTAGTCTTGCTCTGTTGCCCAGGCTGGAGTGCAGTTTTTTTTTTTTTGCTCACTGCAACCTCTGCCTCCTGGGTTGAAAGTTTTTTTTTTTTTCAGCCTCCCGAGTAGCTAGGATTACAGGTGTGTTTTTTTTTTTTCTGCTAATTATTTATTTTTAGTAGAAACAGGGTTTTTTTTTTTTTGCCAGGGTGGTCTTGAACTCCTGACCTCAGATGTTTTTTTTTTTTCAGTCTCCCAAAGTGCTGGGATTACAAGTGTGAGCTACCATGCCCAGCCCAGTTCTATGTTTTCTTAAATGAAATTATTTTTTTTTTTTTCTAATAAGAATTTACCATCGTAAGAGTGGGTGGTTTTTTTTTTTTTTACCAAGACAATTAGCCAAACTTATCAAAATATTTTTTTTTTTTATTTGTATGTAATTAATGAAGTATTTATATTTTTTTTTTTTTTTTTTAATATGGTGCTTCCTGGGTATACACATATGGTTTTTTTTTTTTTACTGTTTTATATCACTAAAGACAATTTGGGGCCAATTCCTTTTTGCCTAAAATTGTCAGATTGTCAGTTACATCTGCTTTTTTTTTTTTCAACATGGACATATTGTAAAGCTCATGTCATTTTTTTTTTTTTTTCTATATTTTTTTGAGACAGGGTCTCCCTCTGTCTTTTTTTTTTTTGTCCCAGTGATCTTTGCTCACTGGAGCTTCTACTTTTTTTTTTTTAGTGATCCTTCCACCTCAGTCTCCCAAGTATCTTTTTTTTTTTTTCATGCCACCATGTCCAGTTAATTTTTGGATTTTTTTTTTTTTTTTGAGACAGGGTTTGACCTTGTAGCCCAGGCTGATCTCAAACTCCTGAGCTAGAGCAATCCACTAGCCTTGGCCTCCCAATTTTTTTTTTTTACAGGTGTGAGCCACTGTGCCCAGCCAACGTTTTTTTTTTTTTTTGTAAAATTCTGAAGTCAGGGAACTTGAATGTCATTTTTTTTTTTTGGGAAAAGACATGGACTCTAGAGCCAACGTGCTTTTTTTTTTTTTTTTGTCTCTTCTATTGCTAGATGGGGGGAACTTTTTTTTTTTTTTGTATAAAATACAGATAATAATAGTACTTAATTCTTTTTTTTTTTTTGAGGCATAAATAAGTTAATACCTTTAAAGCACTTTTTTTTTTTTCTGGCACAGAGAAAATACTTAGTGTCAGCTCATTTTTTTTTTTTTACCATGTGATTGTAGAGCACGTCTAATTTGGATTTTTTTTTTTTTGGAATCACTTGTTTCCTGGTGGCTTAGTCAACATTTTTTTTTTTTTAATAGCTGAGCCAGGAAAACCAGGTTAACCTCTTTTTTTTTTTTCTCCTCCTCCTCCTTCTTCTTCTTCCTCTTCTTTTTTTTTTTTTTTTTTTTCTTCTTCTTTTTTTTTTTCTTGAGATGTTTTTTTTTTTTCGCCCAGGCTGGAGTGCCCTGGCATGATCTCGGCTCACTGCAACCTCCGCCTCCTTGGTTCAAGCGAGCATGCCTGGCTAATTTTTGTAGTTTTAATAGAGATGGGGTTTCACCATGTTGGCCAAGCTGGTCTCGAACTCCTGACCTCAAATGATCTGCCCACCTCAACCTCCCAAAGTGCTGGGGTTACGGGCGTGAGGCACCGTGCCCAGCTTTTTTTTTTTTGACTTCTTGATACTGTATTCCTTTCTGTCTTCATTTTTTTTTTTTCTCAATTCTCTTCATTTTCCTTCAGTGCTATTATTTTTTTTTTTTAAAAGATGCAGCCACGAAGATCCTAAGTGAAGTCACACGCCCAATGAGTGTGCATATGCCTGCAATGAAGATTTGTGATTTTTTTTTTTTGTTGGATAGCCAGATCTGTGAGCTGAAATATGGTTTTTTTTTTTTCCATGTTTTTCCCAGTAGGTCCAATGGATTCCCTTTTTTTTTTTTTTGGGGCCATGTCTTCTAAAAATTCAGTGTTAAAAGGAAAGGAATTCACCACTCATCAATAAGTTGCTGGGCTGATGATTTTTTTTTTTTGCCATTTGAGTTTCGTTGAGGGAAGACAAATAATTTTTTTTTTTTTAATCAGCATTAGGTTAAAATTGCCAACGAGGCTTTTTTTTTTTTCTCAGGCCTTTAATCCCAGCACTTTGGGAGGCCAAGACGGGTGGATCGCAAGGTCAGGAGTTTAAGACCACCCTGGTCTTTTTTTTTTTTTCTTGTCTCTACTAAAAAAATAAAAAAAAAATTTTTTTTTTTTTTTGGCGGGCACCTGTAGGCCCACCTACTTGGAAGTTTTTTTTTTTTGAATCACTTGAACCCGGGAGGCAGAGGTTGTAGTTTTTTTTTTTTCTGCCACTGCACTCCAGCCTGGGTGATAGAGCAAGACTCCGTCTCAAAAAAAAAAAAAAATTGCCACCAAAATCAGAGTTTAAACTCCCAACACACCAAGACAATGCCAGATATGTATGTCAATTTTTTTTTTTTCATATGAAGAGAGCAGCTACTCCCTCCTGGTGATTTTTTTTTTTTTAATCTATTAAAACAAAATTGGTACCTATTCAATTTTTTTTTTTTGACTTTGAAGATGTAAAGATGACTATGACTTCCTTTTTTTTTTTTGCTACCATTCTGCCAGCTTTAAATGATAGGAAATTTTTTTTTTTTATCAAATCAGGTTTTGCCTGGTGAAATAGTTTATTTTTTTTTTTTCAAAACAAATAGCAAGGCAAGGAAGGAGATGTCTTTTTTTTTTTTTGTTGTTGTTGTTGTTGTTGTTGTTTTTTCCGATTTTTTTTTTTTCTCTGTCACCCGGGCTGGAGTGCAGTGGTGCGATTTTTTTTTTTTGCAACCTCTGCCTCGCAGGTTCAAGCGATTCTCTTTTTTTTTTTTCCCAAGTAGCTGGGATTACAGGCACGCACCACCTTTTTTTTTTTTTTTTTGTATTTTTATTAGAGACGAGGTTTCACCTTTTTTTTTTTTCTGGTCTTGAACTCCTGACCTCAGGTGATCCACTTTTTTTTTTTTCTCAAAGTGCTGGGATTACAGGTGTAAGCCACCTTTTTTTTTTTTGAGATGTCCTATTTTAAAACGTTATCCTTGGCCTTTTTTTTTTTTCATGGATAGATCTATTCTTTTACCATGATTTGTTTTTTTTTTTTTCATTTAGGTAGATTGAGTGGGTGTCATAAAAGGATGGGGAATTCCTCCCTCAGCCTATCCATGACACCTGAAATCCCATTTTTTTTTTTTTAAGTCGTTGTTTTACATACATTACATACCCAGTTTTTTTTTTTTAACTACCTAAGTAATTAACATCCACCTCTAAATTTTTTTTTTTTTATTTTCCAACACAGCCGTGTAATAGTCCTATGTTTTTTTTTTTTTATAGCTAGCTGTAAGTAGGTTTACTGTTGAAAGTTTTTTTTTTTTACCTACTTCTCAAGTTGCAAAGCACAAGTCCTAACTTCCAGGGTAGTTATTAGAGTAGGCATCCCTTTTTTATTGGCTTTTTTTTTTTTTAATAGGGGCAGAAATCACTGAGTCCATATAAACTTTTTTTTTTTTCCTGGCGGGATGCGACGGCTCACACTTGTAACCTCAGCACTTTGGGAGGCCGAGGCAGGCAGATCTTTAGAGCCCAGGTTTTTTTTTTTTACCTGGGCAACATGGCGAAACCCCATCTCTACATTTTTTTTTTTTTTAGCCAGACGTAGCGTTGAGTGCCTGTAGTCCTAACTACTCAGGAGGTTGAGGTGGGAGGATCACCTGAGCCTGGGATTTTTTTTTTTTGGTGAGCTGTGATTTTTTCATCGCACTCCAGCCTTTTTTTTTTTTTGAAACCCCGTCTGAAAAATAAATAGATAAAATTTTTTTTTTTTTAAGCCAATATCACAAACCTCTTCTGAGTTTTTTAATTCAACAATTTTATTATGAATAACTTCTCCTATATCCAAGGAATTTTTTTTTTTTCCTTAAACAATGGAAAAACAAATCAGATATTATTTTTTTTTTTTTACTACCTAATGTTTTGGCGATGCTGGCCACTAGTTTTTTTTTTTTAGCTGTGAACTAGTTTTAATCTTTGTGTGGACCTTTTTTTTTTTTTTTGGGGGCATCACAGAGGTTTTCCTCTTTTTATTTTTTTTTTTTGATACCAAGTTCTATAGAAAAACTCAGAGAAACTTTTTTTTTTTTCAAAAAAAAAGTATTTTTCTCCTTCAGTCTCTTTTTTTTTTTTTTCTAATAGTTCTTAATTATCTCCCCAGCTATTGTGAGCAGGAAAGATAAGATTAAACAGGGACCTTTGTGCTGTGGCAGTTTTTTTTTTTTGGCTATACAAGTTTCTACTTTAAAAAGTATTCTTTTTTTTTTTTTATGAAATTAACAAGCAAGATAAGTGTGGAGTTGTAGTATGTTTTCAATTAGGAAGGTGCCATTTGGTTTTTGACCTGATTTTTTTTTTTTATTTGCTTGCTTTGTGTTTAAAAAGGATAGGGATTTTTTTTTTTTATTTAAGGGTTCTCTGGAGCACCGTGTATAGCTTTTTTTTTTTTTACAAAAGTCTTTTAACATCAAACTTTTAAATTAGAACAGAGTTACTGGAAAGTTTTGACAAATAATTTGACAAATATTTTTTTTTTTTTTTTTTTAAATGTTGTGTTCTACTATGCAGAGGTATTTTTTTTTTTTAACTTTCAAGAGAAGTCAAGCCGAAAAAATTCTTTTTTTTTTTTTATTGTTTAATAAATAAACTTAAATGTTGTATTCTTTTTTTTTTTTAACACCGGACAAGTGGGGAGGGGCAAAAAACACTTTTTTTTTTTTTTTTTTGACAGTCTTGCTCTGTCGCCTAGGCTGGAGTGCAGTGGCGTGATCTCTGCTTACTGTAACCTCAACTTCCTGGGTTCAAGAGATTGTCCTGCCTCAGCCTCCTGAGTTGCTGGGATTACAGGTGTGTGCCACCATGCCCATCTAGACTTTCTTTTGAAAGAGGAAAAGTACCTCTTTCTGATAGGAAAATTATAATTATTGGTATATTACAGATGAGCTTTTTTTTTTTTCAATTTTGGACTTTTTCTCAATCTTTTCAGCAATTGAGAAGTAACTGAGTTCTTGATATTTTCTGCACACAATCTATAAACAGGGAAATAGTAGTCTTGCTAGAGGAGGTTAGATGTTAGTGACAAGTATCATTGGCAAGAATTTTAGAAACCAGGTTGGCTGGCACAAAGCACTAGCATTGGAGAAGTGGGAATAACACAAAGGGTTTTACGTGCTGTAATAATTTAGCAACCTAATCCCAGTAGGGGCTGGGCATCAGGTGAGTTTCAAAACAGAGATCCCAAACGATTAAGGTTCAGCGAGAATATTCCTGATTTTATTCACGTGTTTGCATTTCTTTACATTTTTATTTAAAACCCAATAGTGCTATGTCATGTGTATAAGCTCATTTGCTTTGCCAAAGATACATCTTCCTAGAAAAAGTGAACCATAACTTTTTGCCGGTTAATTACAATCTATGGCTTTCAAGTTGGCCACAAACTAAGGCCATCCCAAAGTAACTGATGGGCTCTTATGAGTTTCCTTCTTATTACCTTAACAGTAGCAATTTGGATACAGTGCTATTTGTTTTAGGAATACTGAGCTTGAGAATGCTCCAAATGGTAGTAAACATTGTGGAACTACATAGGCCTTTAGTTTTGAAGCAAATATAATCTCTTGGAAAGAAAGTCAAATTAAAAACACAAATTATCCCAATAACTTTGTATACACCATTGTCCTTCACTACCTGTGCAGGAGGGGTTCTGGGACCCTACTCGGACACTAAAATCCTGATGCTTAAGTATTTGCATATAACCTATGCACATCTTCCCTCCTGTATACTCTAAATCATCTCTAGATTACTTATTAATACTTAATACAATGAAAATGCTATTTGTATTAGTCTGTTGCCGCATTGCTGTAAAGAACTATCGGCCAGGCACGGTGGCTCACACCTGTAATCCCAGCACTTTGGGAGGCCAAGGCAGGCAGATCAGCTAAGGTGAGGAGTTCAAGACCAGCTTGGCCAACATGGTGAAACCCTGTCTCTACTAAAATACAAAAATTAGCCAGGCATGATGGCGGGTGCCTGTAATCCCAGCTACTTGGGAGGCTGAGACAGGAGAATCGCTTGTACCTGGGAGATGGTGGTTGCGGTGAGCAGAGATTGCGCCACTGCACTCCAGCCTGGGTGGCTGAGCAAGACGCCATCTCAAAAAAAAGAAAAAAATTAAAAAAAAAAAAGAAAAAGAAAAAGAACTATCTAAGACTGGGCAATTTATAAAGAAAAGAGGTTTAATTGGCTCACGGCTCCACAGGCTGTACAGGAAGCATGGCTGGGGAGGCCTCAGGAAACTTACAATCATGGCAGAAGGCAAAGAGGAAGAGGCATGTCTTACATGACTGCAGCAGGAGGAAGAGCGCAAAGGGGGAGGTGCTACACTTTGAAACAACCAGTTCCCGGGAGAACTCACTCACTATCATGAGAAAAGCTAGGGTGAAGTCCACCCCCATGATCCAGTCACCTGCCAACAGCCCCTTCTCCAACAGTGGGGATTACAATTCCACATGAGATTTGGGTGGGGACACAAATCCAACCCATATCATTGTAAATAGTTGTTATACTGTATTACTGTATTGTTTGCATTTTTTTTTTTTTTTTTCCGAGACAGAGTCTCAATCTGTCTCTCAGGCTGGAGTGCAGTGGTGTGATCTCTGCTCACTGCAACCTCAATCTCCCAAGTTCCAGAAATTCTCCCGCCTCAGCCTCCCAAGTAGCTGGGATTACAGGCATGCCACCACCATGCTCACTTATTTATTTTTATTTTTTATTTTAGTAGAGATGGGGTTTCACTGTGTTGGCCAGGCTGGTCTCGAACTCCTGACCTCAGGTGATTCGCCCACCTCGGCCTCCCAAAATGCTGGGATTACAGGCGTGAGCCACCGTGCCCAGCCCTGTTTGTATTTTTTAATTGTTGTAGTGTTATCTTTAATTTGTTTAGAATATTTTTGATCTGTGGTTGGTTGAGTCTGCAGATGCAGAACCCACTGATAGAGAGGGCCGCTGTACCACATTTTCCTTTGGGTGTGTCTTGGTTTCCATGGAAACTGGAATCGTTGCCCACCTTGGATCATAGGGTAGTCAGCATGGGATAAGCAAACTATATGCCTTTTGAAGTGATTCATAGGGATTTTTTTTTTTTTCCATTTGTTTTGTAATTGGCTTTTTTCTTTTTTGTCATTTAGAAAAAACACTGGACTTGGCATCAGTTGACCTGCGGAAGATGAGAGTGGCAGAGCTGAAGCAGATCCTGCATAGCTGGGGGGAGGAGTGCAGGGCCTGTGCAGAAAAAACTGACTACGTGAATCTGATCCAAGAACTGGCCCCCAAGTATGCAGCGACACACCCCAAAACAGAGCTCTGATCTCCAACGCCAGCACATTTGTGACTTGTAATTAGAGAGAAAAATGACCCTCTAGTATATGGACATGTTGATTAAGGATAACTGGGAAATACATCATATTTGGTCTCACGCTTTTTGTGTTGGTATTATTCCGCAGAATTTTGTTACCTGGGTTTATGAGTAAAACTAATACTATTGATAACTCACATTTGCAATGTACCAAAAGCTAAAAGTTCCTTTCTCATAAGTTTCTTGGAAGGGCTATGTCAGTTTTCATTGCCTGTCTCCTAAAAGTGACCTACTGACAAATTGATGGAGTAAATTGATTCCAAGAAAGAAGAAGGTGTTCAGAGACTCCTCTCTGGATGCAATTTTAAAATATATTGGACTACAACGAAAGACACAACAGTCAGGTTATTTAATGCACAACTTCAATCCCAAATACAGAATCAAAAGTTTTTCTAAAGTAAATATTCTGTTTTCACTCTACATTGTAGCTCTCTTTGGTATCAGAAATGGTCAAGCAGGAGTACTTGTTTTTCCCATTGGAAGAAAACCCACTTAAACCTACTTGAAGAAAATAGAGAGGTCAGGAACCCCTATAAGTATAGCCAATGTTTGGCAATTATATCAACATTTACATTATTAATTGAACCAAGCTCAAGGTCTTTTTCATTGCTTACAATCACATATCAGACAAGTTTTTGATAGAAGATTAAAGCAGATTAAAAACACTCATAGACAACTTGGAACGTTACCATTCTTAATGCTATTTTATCAGTTTGTAGTTGTAAAATCGTTTTTGGTTTCATTTTCTGGCCACATAAGAATAAGAAAACCACAGTAGAAGTGGCTGCCTCTGTGTGGCAGGCAGAGCTGGGGAATACTGAAAAAACATTTCCTTGGAACTTTCTGGAGTGATGGGAATGTCCTATATCTTGATTGGTGTGGGGATTACATGGGTAAATAAGATTGTCATCTGGTAGAAAAAATAAGATCTGGGCATTTTATTGTATGTATATAATATCTTTAAAAACTGCTGTAGAAAATTTATATGGAAATTAACTAAAATTAATTAATTCAACACACCTTGTTTGCCAGGCACAGTGGCTCACACCTGTAATCCCAGCACTTTGGGAGGCCAAGGCGGGAGGATCACTGGAGCCTAGGAGTTATTAGAGATCAGCCTGAGCAACAGAGTGAGGCTCCGTCTCTATCAACAAATTTAAAATAAGCTGTGCATGATAGTGTGTACCTGTAGTCCCAGCTACTCGGGAGGCTGAGGTGGGAGGACTGCTTGAGCCTAGGAGGTGGAGTCTGCAGTGAGCTTGATCCACTGCACTTCAGCCTGGGCAACACAGCAAGACCCTGCCAGAAATTATGAAAAAACAAACAAAAAAGCCCACCTTGTTCATTCAAAGAATTGCATTTACTGGCCGGGGTTGTTTTCAGGGAGTGGAGGAGAAATTTTCAGACTGAAAATATACATCGAAAGCATAATTTTTAATTCTAAATGCTGCAGAGGTAAATGAATTTTCAGCTGGGCAGCTGAGAGATCAGAGAGTTAGTGGTTCCTAAGGAAATATATACATGATGTAACTGAAAAGTGAGAATAAGAAAGCTGTGGTGTAATGAATGGTAAAAGTAATTACTGTTTCTGAATTTTGGCAGCTTCATTATCATGTGTAAAGCGTCTACTTTATTTTGAATTCTATCTTCAAAAAAACCAAAGTTAGTTTTTGGTTGTTTTTGTTTCTTTGAGACAGAGACTTGCTCTGTTGCCCAGGCTGGAGTGCAGTGGCACAATCTTAGCTCACTGCAAACTCAGCCTCCTGGGTTCAAGTGATTGTCCTGCCTCACCCTCCCGAGTAGCTGGGATTACAGGTGCCCACCACTATGCCCAGCTAATTTTTTTATATTCTTAGTAGAGACAGGGTTTTGCCATGTTGGCCAGGCTGGTCTTGAACTCCTGGCCTCAAGTGATCCACCCGCCTCAGCCTCCCAAAGTGCTGGGATTATAGGCGTAAGCCACCATGCCTGGCCTCTGCAGAGTTTTCTTTTTTAAACTGCTTATAACCTTTATATTTGTTTTTATTTTTGCATTTTGAACCTATCAAGAAATGTGTTGTTTGAAAATATTATGTTTGGTGTCTGACCTCAAAATCGGGTTGCATTTCTATGTCTTTTTTTCAGGATACAAATTGAGGTAATAGACAGTGCTCAGCCAGTCATTTATATCCATGGTGTTTAGTCTGGCTTTTTTTGTTTTTCATTTTTTTTTGAACAGTCTCATTCTGTCACCCAGGCTGATATGCAGTGGCACTCTCAGTTCACTGCAACCTTCACCTCCCGGGTGCAAGTAATTCTCCTCCTTAGCCTCCCCAGTAGCTAGGATTACAGGCGTGCACCACCACACCTGGCTAATTTTTGCATTTTTAGTAAAGATAGGGTTTCACTATGTTGGCCAGGGTGGTCTCAAACTCCTGACCTCAAGCGATCCACCTGCCTTGTCCTCCCAAAGTGCTGGGATTATAGGCATGAGCCACTGTGCCCGGTCTAGCCTGGTTTTTTTTTTTTTTTTTTAAAGAGAATTTACATCAGTGCTTCTCAAACTGCACATACGGTGTTTATCACAGCACAGTTCACAATTGCAGAGAGATGGAATCAACCCAAGTGTCCATCAACTGGTAAGTGGATAAAGAAAATGTGTTTATGTTATCAGGCATCACATAAACATAATACAGCATGGAATACTACTCAGCCATCAAAAAGAACAAAATCATGTCTTTTGCAGCAACTTGGAGGGAACTGGAGGCCATTATTCTAAGTGAAGTAACTCAGGAATGGAAGACTAAACCTGTATGTACAAACCAGTATGTTTTCACTTATAAGTGGAAGCTAAGCTATAGGGTAAGCGGAGATGTAAAGAGTGGTGTAATGGACATTGGTGATTCAGAAGCAGGGAAGGTGGGAGGAAGGTGAGGGATATAAAACTACATATTGGGTACAATGTATGCTACCTAGGTGACAGGTGAGCCAAAATCTCAAACTTCACCACCATACAATTCATCTATGTAATCAAAAACCACTTGTGCCTCAAAAGCTATTGAAATAAAAAATAAATAGCTGAAGAGTACAAACAAACAAAAACTGGGCATAGAGGCAGTCTTGTTAAAGTAGGGGTTCTGATCCAGTGGGTCTGGGGTGGGCCTGAGATTCTGCATTTCTAGTGAGCTACCAAGTGATGTCGACACTACCCTTCCAGGACCACGCTTTGAGTAGCAAAGGCCTAGGTCAAGGATCCTGCAATTGATACATACTTTTCCCCTTTGTCAGTATCAACCTAAATAGTAAACAGAGAAAGGTTCTCTAAAAAAAGATGTTTATTTGGGGATAGAGCATTGCAATGGGAATATGCAAGCCTTAGCAAACTATGCGTACTCAAAGGAGGTAAAGGAAGACAAAGGTTTTTAAAAGTAAAAATGAGGGGCTGGGTGCAGTGGCTCACACCTGTAATCCCAGCACTTTGGGAGGCTGAGGCGGGTGGATCACCTGAGGTCAAGGGTTCAAGACCAGCCCGGCTAGCATGGTGAAACCCCATATCTACTAAAAACACAAAAAAATTAGCTGGGCCTGTTGGTAATCTCAGCTACTGGGGGAGG